AGGACGTTTTTCTCGAAACTCGATTAGTACTACAAAAATCGAATATAATCAATATTTCTATGTCTTTAATACAGAAGTCAAATTATAATTTTGACATATTTCCATCTCTATAAATTCAAATAGCCAGAGAATGAATACACTTAAAACCACAGTTATACAAATATTTGACCGATTATATATTCAAGTACAACTACTCCAAAAGTCAACAAAATAAATAAACTTCTATACTAAAGTTACAGAAATTTTCAGCTACCTATGCCATCAAGTCTACCCCGCTCGATAGTCAAACCGACAAAAATACTATGATATACACATATAACTATATTAGTGTAGAAATTTACTTATTTTTTTGTTTTAAGTATCTCAGAAGGTAGACTTCGAAATATCGATGAGTGAATATTTCTACATTTTTAGTATAGACGTTTATTCACTGTTTTGCCTATCTCAGTAGATAGACTTCAAAGTATGGCTATGTGAATATTTCTATATTTTTAGTATAGAAGATTTTTCCTTTGTTTTGACTATCTCACGAGATAGACTTCGAGCAATAAATAGGTGAAGATTTCTATATCTTAATTTTAATAAAGACACCTCCGTATACAACTAGTTTAATGCAAAAATGCGACAAAATACGAACTAATCGTACTATAAGAACGTGTTTGATCATATATGATCATGTTGTTGGATCTTATACGTAACTTATAGTCATTCTTGATGTAAGATTGCATGAACCGCGTTTTTTCGTACAGTTTTGCGTATGATCTTCTCTGATCATATCTGATCTTACTCTAATATCTTATATGATCGGTCAAGAATGTATATGTATCTTAATATCTTATATATCGACCTGGGAATTCATTTTTTTGATGTCTGAATAACTCTGGACAATCGATCAGCAGATAAACTGCTATTATCTTTTGTTAGAAGGGAACAGGCAGTGGATTTGGGTAAGAACTTGTCCGTATCATTAATTTTGATCTTAAAATATGATATCTCTTGGTCAACCGATACGATTTCTTTGATATTTAAAGCGTGGAAATTCGTTTTAATTATTTTCAGCTGTTTCTCGCCAATATCATCGTCGTCATGCTCTCCTTCCAATGGGAAAGAGCTGATTATTGATTAGGGTTGATTAAGGGAGATTAGGAGTGATTAGGAGTGATTAGGAGTGATTATCGGACTCCTAATCAGCTGTTTCCCCCTTGGCCACACCCCACTCACGCCACTCACATCCACATCCACACCCACAAAAGGTTTTATGTGCATTTCATTACTTTTTCGAAATATTAACGATAGGTTTGCTCCAATATCTAAAAAAGCGTGTACAGCCAATCATGCCCATGCCTGCTGTATTGATTCCATGACAGATGCTCTCGCGACAGTTGCTTCCGGGACACTTGATCCCCAGAGACAGTTGCTCCCGCGACAGTTTCTCTCCAGCGACAACTGCTCCTCGGGCACTCGCATTCGCGGCACGGGTACGGGTGTGAGTGGGGAAAGAAGTGATGGACATTTACAGCCACCGCATCTCTCACACCTATATCTATAGTTGCACCCACATTCACATCCGCACCCACACACTCCTACCGACACTCACATTTGCATCAAAACCTACGCATATTCACTCTCGCATTCGTATCCACACCCGCCCACAGTCACACTCGCATTCGCATCCACATCCACCCCCAGTCACACTCGCATTCGCATCTCCCTCCCTGCAGTCATACTCGCACCAGCACCCGCAGTTACACCCACATCCACACCCATCCACGGTCACACTCACACTCACACCCACACCTGCACTCACAATCACACTCGCACTCACACTAGTACTCACACTCATATCCATAACTCTGTCGCGGAAGCATCTGTCTGGGGAGCAACAGTCGTGTTACCTACTGTATTATAATCCAGGAATCTGTTACCGGATTGTTGACTACATGTTTTTTAAATGCTTTTTTGATTGCACAATTCAATGTTTGTTTTCAATCTATATCATTATCTAAGTACAGATTGAATATTTTGAGGACCAAAGCATTATAAAATGAAAGTTCTTCCTTTGCACAATATTTTGAGTAGTCTTTACCTGAACGTAGAAGATCTAAAGCCTGAAATTTCTTTACTTTGTATTAGGTCTGGAGCTTTTATCGATCTCTTCAAAGATCCAGCTTAGAGGCGGTTGATTACTCTCGAGTCTTCTTCATAATTATTAGATCTCACTGTTATATTCTTCTAATAGGATATAATTAGGGTCAGCCCCAGTGTGGATTATTCCGCGGGCAAGATGGCTTGTTTCTCGAAGCTAATCTGCCATGTCACTAATGACAGAGACTCAACTAACTTTTTTATTACGATAGAAAAAGCAAATATGAGCAACAACATTGATGATTACAACATAAAAATCTATACATTGAGTCATGCATCCTGACAGACAGTCTTGAATACTAGTAAGTCAAACAATAGAAGTCATTCTACTGGTATGACACGCAATCGGTTTCTTATTTTTGCAATCATTGCAACAAAATAAGGGACGAAAAACCGCAATCCACCAGACAAAGCACTGAATATACTCAAAAAGATTGTTAAAATTTCTAGAGCATCAAATCGATAATGATATGTATAGGTGCATTGTTTTGGTGTACAAGCGGCGAAGAACATCTCGTAGGATGTGTCGTTAATCCACGTTTCAATAAACATATTGTAAGCTAATGTCTCAATCGTATCATCAACAGCAAAGCGTGTCGATGCCGGATTCAACCTTACAGGAATACCGAACAAAGCGGCCCATTCTTCCATCGTCATTTCTGTGCTAAGATTCATTACATTCCGAATTTCATCAATGCATGATAAAGAATAGAAACAGGATAGTGAAGAGCGCAAAATTGTTTCAAGTATAAAACAGCTACGCACCAAACCCGTAAATGAATAGTATGGTGTAGTGTTGTAAAAAAGTTGTGCTGATACTGCGCAAGATCGTTCTGTACTGCAAGAGCAAGTCGTGTTCTGGTCGGTTGTTTCAAAACTGACAGGCACATTAAAAAATGAAGCATCCTCGCCTATGCTATTGTCAGCCATGACTACTTTCCAATTAGAAGAAAAGAAGCTTAATAATGCATTACTTTGTATTATTGTGCGAATTAGATCTAATGTTCGAACAAATGCGACTGAAGTGGATGTTTTGAGTCGATTGAGAGTCGCATCGATTTCGTTTTTAAACTGTATTCGTGGTATTACTTGATACACTATCATATTTGATGCAATAAATGTTTCAATCGTATGAGCCACACTGCGTTGTGCAGTCTGACAGAGTTCTTTGAGACCATCGGTAAAGTACCGCTTCCATGAGTTGAAGTCTATTGGATCTTCCAAAGTTAATCCTGTTAGGATATCTAGAGTGACTCCGAGATCAATTGAAATTATTTCAGTTTCGCATGCTTGGTGAAAAGCGCCAATTTCAAGTCGATTAACAAATGTACCGTAAGGAATCGATATCTGCGTACATGGACAATCTATGTCATTTGAATTCAGATCGAGTAAATGCTCATAATCTGCAATCGTTGGGTACAAATATGTTTTGGTTAAGACGCGACCCGTAATCGATGAATAAAATAGAATGATACTGAGTGAACCGATGAGCAAGACGAGATATACTCGAGTGATTAACCGCTGCTGACGAATACTAGCAGTATCAGCCGTGTTGGATTCGAAAAGATTCAAGGTTTGAATTGATTGAATTATTTTTACCAGCATATTATGATCCTGTACACTCTCGGTAGGTGCTATTCAAAAATGAAAGGCATCTTTTTGAATAAGCTTACAAACCAAACCCAAGATTATAGCAGTCGGGAAAACTATAGGCAGTTTTGATTTTAATCATTCACGTCTTCACACTTTCGCTTTAGAATAATTTTCAAATTCCTTCAGTGGCGAAAGAGATCTGTTTAAAAATGATCATCGTGTCATAACAACTAGGGTGGCATTTTCAGTTTCATTTCTAAAAAGAAACGAAATTGTACAGTCAGGTGAATCATAAATTTCATAAGCTTTCTCCTCTATATTGTATATTTTGCCAAGCGACGTCCAAAGAGAGATGATTAATATGATCAGATTATACTCTTATTGTTTCAATATCCATTTCCATTGTTCTTTTCATTTCTAACTCTCCAAATTATGTTGTACTTTCATTTATTCTGCTTGATTCGACATCTAAAACTTACTAGCAAATACTAGATTAGCAAACTAACTTCAAAGTATTAACCTTTTCTGAACTAAAAACCTGACTTTCATAGAAGAAAACTAGTTTATACTAGGTTTTGACAAGTCAAAAGTGAGGCATCTAACGGGTAAACCCGTTTTATTTTACTTATCAAGATCGCCTCGACACTATCATTTGAGTGATTGAAAATGAGGAGTAAAAGGAACCCAATGCCGAGCCTTTGACCTATTGGACAGACAGAAATCGAGCTCCAACATAGAATTTCGATGTTCGTCGGAAGCTGAAATCAACTGGTTGAAATGTCTATCGAACGGCTACTTAGATGCTGATTGAGAAGGTGGTTTTTCAAAGGATTTTAACAGAAATCGATAAGTTCATCTCTTACTGTTTCAATTTCGAATAGATTGATAGCACATTTTACTTTCAAAAATGACATGACACAACCTTACGTGCATCACGATTTTCTCGTATAATACTTTTCTTTTGATAATAAGAGCGATAGGATAGCTAGACTGAGCGTGTGGATATGAGTATGCGTGTGAGATATGGTTTCAAGTGTTAATGAAAGACTGATATCGACACCTGTACTTACACGCACACGATGATTATTTTTATTTTCACTTTCGTAATTTTAATATCTTATTCCTTCTTTATTTTTCCTTTGTTTACCTCGTATTGTGACGGTGTGTCACATTATAGTTCCAATCGAAAGTATTCTCGCAAACGTTTTTCAGACGACTTTGCTATCGGATTGAAAAATAAATTATTTAGTTACAGAAATGGATTATTTTTGCACAATACACTCACCACGAACGGTTTCCCGATTTCTCCATTTTCCGATAATAACCAGAACAAGCTTTCCAATCAATGGTACAACTAATCGAAGGCCTTGATTGAGCCCACTACAAACTGAAACAAGTAATAAAATGGCTACAATGATACTTCGACGTTTGAATATTGTATATGAACAGCTGAGAGGTGCACATTGTTGGTAGTACAGACCATAACGATTATCGCTGATGACTGATGTTTCCAAAAACGCTTGATTAATTAAATCTAATGTATTGCCATCGAATCGAGTAGGAATCGATGTATTTAGTGGCTTGATATCTGGTGGAAACTCCGAGATGATCATACTAGCATATGTTGCTCGTATATTTTCAATATAAATCTTATTATACCACCAGTCGGTACCAGAGCTGAAGAATCCAACCAATGGTGTGCAACCCACAAATACTTCATAGAAAATGTCCAGAAATTCGAAGAAGTTCGATCCATTCGTATACAGGATAGGTCTCAAAAGGCAAATATTAGAATTAATTGTGCATGAGCATAATGCAGTTAATATTACGTCTTCGGGAGTTATATCTGCCAATTGGCAAAGCAATACATCCTCAATATTCACGTTGCTGTCATTGTCCACTGTAATTTGGAAATTAACATTTGATCCTGATAAAAACTGATTTATAGTACCAGCAATATTAATCCAATTTAAAATAGGCACAAAGCTATTGCGTGTTCCATTGATGAATTCTTCAGCCACCGCTTGAGTTTGTTGAACAAACAGAGATTGAGGACGAAGATGATTGCTAACGAATGGTGTATTGATGAAAACACGTTGACTATCTTCAATATTGATTTTAGCCAAAGAGCAAAACGTAGCCAAAAGTTGAAAATACGACACACCTGTAGGACGAAAATCTCGTGAATACGGTGTTTCAGTCCAAGGACGTATTAGAGTTGGATCAAACAAAGACAAATAATTTAGCCACATTGGTGAAACTATATCGCTCGAACACACTTGGTGTAACACGAATGATACATTTAGAAATGCTCCATAGGGTACAGATAAATGTGTGCAAGGACATTGTATGGTATTTGGATGATCATTGAATAGTTTTTCGTAGGTTTCTAGAGATGGATACATGATAGTAACAATTTGATCGTCGTTGAATATAAATATGTAAAAGCCAACGGTGATCGAGCAGATGATGAATAATAAAATAAAGAGTCGCGTGAAGAAATACTCACGTGTTATATTAGTATGTGTTCGAATTTTCTTACTTTCGAAAAGATTTAACTTCTTCAGTTGCTGATAAACGAAATTTGCTAGACGTTGAAGACGATCGAAGGCTGTTATTGCTAAGAAGATTTTAGATTTAATGGAATACAAAAATTTTCTATAAACTGCATATTAAAACCCAGACAACCAAACAAAATAACCAATTAACCTCAAGATAAAAGTGTGGGTGTAGATTTGAGTGTGAAAAACGAAGAGAAGACTCAGTCACCTCACACTCCCCAATTCCTTTTCTCGACTTCTCTGAGAGTCAAATCAGAATACCCCCCCCCCTCATAATAAAAGACCCCCCATATTAGAAGACCCTCCGTTTTAGAAGACCCCTCCGGAGGAGTCACTTCATAGAAATTTCTTTTTTGCACCAGCAAAAATTTACAAATTTACAAAAGTTCGCTGGACCATAATAGAAGACCCGGGGTCTTTTATTGTAGGGGGGTTAGCTTTTTCATATGGACCACTTTAAAGCTTGAAAGATTAATGTTTTCTGAACAATCTTACAAAATCAGATTTGCATTTGAGAAACACCACGAGAATATCGCAATTGCTGTGTGGAATAGACTTCCACTATCAGTATTCGAGTTACATGAATTTTGTTTTCACTTACGCTGACGTGAAAGAGTCGTATCATTCTGTGAACCGCTGTTATTTGAAGTGATTTTGGTTTTCCAGCGAAAAATTCCGTTTACAACAAGTGGTACCAACAGACGCAAGATAGAAGATAGAGCACCAAAAGTTTCAAGAATTGTAGTAATAATGAAGAGACATGAAAAGCGATGAGTGTATGAGAAAGTACAATAAGCAGGTTTACATTGTTTGTAAAATGAATCAAACATTATCTCACTATTCAATTTATCAATCATTAAATCATTGAGAAGTATTTGAATAGTAGAATTTACCAGAAAATGATTGTTGAAATCATTGGAAAGTAGACTTCCCGTTTCTATCGATGAGTTATGTAGAAAACGAAAACATGCTAGATCGTAATAACATTCTAGTGTAGAACCCAACGTTGAATCAACAATATAGCAATCAATTATCATTCCTGGAACTACTATTAATTGATCTTGACTGTCTCTGATAACAGCTGGACGTGGACATCCAGTAATAGACAAACACGAGCAATTTTCGGACACCACTGGTAACATTTTTGGGTGATACCAATCTCCAAAATTTGATGGTGGATAATGAAGATAAAAGTTGGTTCCCAAAGCTGATACAAATTGATTTCCAGACATAATCCGTCGAATAACAAGTAAAATCTGAGCAAATGTTGCTTGGGCTGAATAAATATGATTATTAAGATCTCCTTGAGCTTGACGATGAAGAACTTCTTCAGTAACTGCCATCGGACTAAGAATGCGCGATGCACCAAAACTTGTGGCAGCATCAGTCCACGTGCTCTTGCTCACAACACAAAAACCTGCGATTGTTTGCCAGAAAAAGCTTAGATAAAATCGAATGTCAGATTCAGTTGACGATGAAGTTTTGTTTTCGACGAATATTGAATCAATCCATTCTTCTGTAATAAATTTACTTGAACATACTTGATGAAAATCGACGTGAACTTTCACAAATGATCCGTAGGTGATTCCAATTTGAGAACATCGGCATTGAAGAGTATTGGGATATTTTTTTGCCAAATATACGAACATGGCCTGTGAAGGTGAATAATCAATACCATCTTCTGTTCGAATAATGAATGCGGAAACAACTCCGATTATGAGAAGGAAACCAATAAGTAATGGAATGTAAATGCGTGTTGCAAGTTGTTCTCTTGGAGCAATCTGTGCATCACTTGAGTTTGTTTCGAATAGGTTCAAATGAAGAAAAGACTTCCACAAGAAATTCAATGGATTCCACAACATCAATGCTCTGTTTTTATTTGACAACTAGAAGTTTTCAATGAAAATATATTGGAAAGCGGAAAGCTAATCATTTTTGCTACACTCACAAAACATCTGGAAGATAGCAACGAGCCAACAATCTTCAGCTCTAGTTTTAATGAGAATATAGAAATGGAAAGAAAATATGAATATAATTTGCGATAGTGAATAACAGTTTTGGGTGCGTGCATAGTTAATGAAGAATTCGAAGAATGAGAAATATTCAAATTACTTTCATAATTGTATACTATGGCACTGCTTGGAAGATAAACTTTTGTGGACGATTAGAATGAATACAATCAACGTAATCTGAAAAAGTATGGCATGTTTCACTCTTTGACGATTTAAATAAGTCAAAAACCTGAATATGTCTGCTAGAGCAAGACTTAGTCTAATAAAATTTTATTATGTTCTCTTAGCTTAGGAGCATATTCATCTTCCTATAAATGTGCTCTTGCCTAGATTCTCCCTCTTTCTCTCTCCGACATGAATTGAGGAGAAACTCAAAAATCATTTACGACATAAGAGTTTTTTAGCATTGAGAGTTATGTTTAATATCAAGTTTGTTGTTTGAAGTTTCTCGATTGTCGTTGACCATTACTGTTGCTCTATAAACAAGATGACAATCATGTAAAATGTATTACAGCATCGCATGAAAAGCTAATCAGGATTTCTGTGCTTTATTACCCCATTGTTATCTATTGTTGAAAAGAAGACTACATGCAATTAAAGATTGCTTATCAGTTTCCTGCATTCATGATTAGTTCATCAGACAAATATATTATAAAAATTAATGTTTTATTTTATCTGCTTTCCATATCATATTTTGCTTTCTAATAATATAAATTGACATGAAAGTGGGTTCATAAAATATGAATGGTATAGCCTGATGAAGTTTAAGTCAATACAGTAGTTCGGTTTCTGTTTCTTCATATAAAGAGTATTCGACATTGGTAAAATATTTTTTGATTCGCTAAAGAGAAAAAATGCATTCTCAATTTTTTCAAGAAAAAGAATTGAAATTAAAAGAAAATTAGGCTGAAAGCTTGTGAAAAGTTTGTATATATTGTCTGCTAAGCAAATGTCGATTGAATCGGTTGTTTATCATAATTGGTTGCAGCCCTACCAGATGGCATCCGTCTTTCTTACTTCATCGTTTGTTCTTTTACTGCTTACAGCTACTATTTTGAAGTTCAGCATAAAGGCACACAGTTACATCGAGAGATATTGCTATATCTAACCATTGAATTTGAATAAGGTATCATAACTATATTTAACTTTTAATATTAATGTATAATACAGAATTGTCCAAAGAAATCGTCATAGCTGTTATTTACTCAAGAACTGACTTTCAATCGTTTTTCTGTAGAATAGATCATATAATTTAAAAAAAAACGGGTTTGATTCGCTTGTCCTATAAATTATCTTTGGCTTATATTCCAATTGTGATATCTTCTTAAATTTTTACGTAGGAGACAGTGGAAGCAAGGAAAGATTATGGGTTGTTAGAATGTGAATCGACGTAAATGAAAATCACTTCGTTCTTTCTACATGAAAGAGACGACATGATAATGACGGCGTGAAAAGGTCCATGATTTGTTTTATAAGCAATCACTCACATATAGAACTTTAAACTCCAATAGCTATGCAAAAGGTTCAAAGAAGCGATATCAGGCATCGCACTATCCTTGAAACTTGCACTGCGGAGAAGAGGAGAGTGACAAAGGCAGCAGCATACTTTTGTTTGAGATTATGTCTATTAAAAGTCATCACTGATTTAGATCATACTAAATTGCTCACTTAAAGAAATCGAGAGTCAACTGCTCGCTTTTGATCGATAGGTGCATTTACCATCGAATTCTTTTACATTAGGAATTTTTGTGAGTCAACTTGCTCTTCTCGAACCATGTCAAAAATGGAGTCATCATGTACTAAGTAAAATAAATCAGGCTTTTGAAACACTTTCTATGAGTATGGGTGTGTAAACCTGTACGATATTAGGTATTTCGATGGTGATGAAACTATCTTATCAATTGACATAAGATATTAGAATAGAAGATCGACATTTTTTGCGAATTGGTATATTGTAACAAACGCAATTGATAACATTACACGATTCATTTTGATCTTGCTTAATGGTTTTTCTCAGGTATGTTTACAATATATTGTCACATATAAATCCAAAACTCTTGAAATACACGAAGAAGCTAAGGAAAACTCGTAATAATTCAAATATAATATATCAAATTATAGTTTCATTTACTATGTAAATATGGATGTAGGGTGTGAATTTGAATAAAGAGAAGAATCCGTCCACACCTCTCTATTGTATGAAGAGTATATAGTATAGGCTGAATTACTTGAAGAGTTTATTTTATTTTGTATGGAACTGTTTTGGAAGCAACTAAATCTTCATTTTGTTCAATGTCTCCATACCAACAGGAGCACAATCGTTCCTATCTATAATATATGTTGTAATCATATCGATTTTCTTATATTAAATTTTATGTCAAATAGACAAGTTTGTGCATGGGCACACTTTTTATTTCACATTTATGATTTATTTTGGATAAACATTTGGCAATGGTAGTTGAAGTACCCGTTTAGCACCAAATAATGGAAAAAAAAATTTCGAAGAATGCAGGACCGACACGTGTAAATAGTGCAATATAGAGCGGCACTATAGAAAGAAATATGTGTGTCATCATGATTCCTAATGATTTTAATAAAGTAATACAACAAAGAGTTTCTGAGCGCCTAGCTATGCTCTATAAAAGGAGAAATGTGTATGCCGACACCGAAGATGAAGCATCGAATACGGTAATAGAAGAGTAGATACAAAAGCCGACTCCTTAAGTAGTGAGACTATAAGTTGATTGCGACGGCAATCCCAAAGAATGGAACATTATTATATAATAAGAGTGTATCTTTGTCGCGTATGACGAGGGTGTGGGTGCGGGTAGACGTTTGAAAGTTGAATACAAGTGCCTCGACACCCGCAACCAACCTCGAGAATGATGAATTTTTCGTGTATCTGGTACTACTGACCAACTTATCAATATTTCACTTTTTCATGATGAGTATATGTACCTAAGTTATGTTCACAGTAAATTTTAAAGACAAAGGGATGCTTATTTGTTGAGACATAAATGTCCTAAAGAAGCACAAAACTATACTTTTGTGACGAGAGTGTCTTCAGAAAAATTTCAATGTCTTGGAAACGGAACAATTTTTTTCCAGACGGCTTGCATCAAAATTCCTAACACTATTTTTTCTACCACATATCTTAAATTGAACAAAACCTGACAGCCTCGATTGAACAAATTGGATCGTGGTTTACGTGGACTGGCTGATAAGTGTAATAGTACAATAATATTGTTAACGGTAATAAGTGTATATGTCGACTCAAAAAGCCTGAAAAACCAAAATATTCTAAGATATTTAATAACTCCTTGAGTGCTATATTTTGGGTCTATACTGGGCTCAAAAGAGAATTAACACCTGGATATGTTCTCTGGTGAGTGGAATTAACAACACCACTTCGACTACAATAAAAAAATTCTAGTTCATCTCAGAACGCTCCTCAGACCTTGAATGAGTAGAATATGTTCGTCGATGTTTATACTAGTGTGATTCTTGTGCACATAATCATGTTTATTGAAGATATCAATGATGATGATTAATTATGACTCTAGAAATCAGTCATTCTTTCAAAACAGCTAATAGCTGGATAAAGATTTTTCGCTTCAAGTATTATGTATTAGCATATTGCAGTCAACAAACCACGTATGAGTTTCACATTTTAGCCTTACAACGACTGTTCTGACAAGTTTGTCCAATTATCATTTTCAAAATAAGTTTTTAAAATTAGAAGTCATTTTAGAAATAGCGTATCAAATTAAAGAAAGTTTTCATAAAATTACGAAATAAATTCGTGTGATTAGGTTTTTTTACGTAAATCATTATGAAAATTAGAAACTTCTAAAATAAATGTCAATCGATACGGCATGAGCAATATTGGTTACTTCTGAGCTTGCCTGGGTGGACATTATGATATTTCTGAAACTTTTTCATTAGCTAAATAAAAAATTAATCAACTAAATAACAAAAAAAAAGTCGAATCATAATTTAAATCATCGTCAAAAAGAAATTGACTGTTCGAATCTATCGAATTTTTTTTATATTGGTTCTTGTTCTCAAAATGGTGCGAACATAAAATCATTAAATATGTTGTTGCAGATGATAGTCTTGTTTTATTCCGATATCGAATAACTTTTTCAATCGATATTTTGTTTAAAAACTTTTTTTTTATTTCCTTTAGATAAAACGTTCACAAACAACTTGAAAAATGAAAATAAAAGCAAGAAAAAAGAATTCTCTTTATTTGAATATCAATCGATGAAAAAACAAAATATTGTATTTGAAATATATGGAATAAAATAACGCTTTTTTAGGTTGAAAATATGTCGATTTTTTAATAGAAACAATAGAAACAGAATTTTTCGCTAAAGCATTGGCACGATCATATATAATGAAATGATTAAAAAGAGGAAATATAAATTTGCTTTGATTGGAATACATTAAAATGCTTGTAATGCCAATGAAGTTAATGATTTAAGAAAATCTCTTTTTTTTGTAATTTTCTATTTTATTTCAAATAAATGACAAAGTTAGTTTAAGTTTCAATATAAACAATTGAAAATTGCTCTGACAGATATTGTTTGTTTTTTCTTGTATGCTAAATGACCTGGTTTGAAACTATTTCTAAATGATATACGCCCAATTCTCTCATTTCTACTTTATTTGTCAAGTTACAAAATATTAAAAAAATCAGTCATGATATGGACTTTTCGGAATAAAATTTTTCGAAAAACATCTTTTTCTTTTACGATGGTGGCGAAGGCATGATGTCATGAATAAGTGCTAATCAATACTTGATAAATAAATGATTCTGTTGTAAAAATAAATTCTTAAAAACTAGGTGCTGGTTACTTCTAACCGATATTTTGAGCGAAAACTATTATGTGGCCAAAGTATTACAAGAAATTGTTCAAAAGTTGTCAAAATTTTGGTTTCTGAGTAATTTTTTATCCTCTTTCAAACTAGCAAAGTCATGTATAAAACTAAAATTTTTCGGTAACCTGCTTGAATGATAGTCTCGTGGGCACTGTCTTAAAATCACTATGAGAATTTGAGTTTGATACTGAAAGCATTAAACCAAAAATATGTTGTTATTAAACTTCTTTCCGATTCATTTACAAATGAGCTAAAGTCAACGCTTGGATGAAAGTAAACATCGTCATTCAATTACATTTGATAGAATATTATAATTATGTATTCTTCTAAAAGAATCATTTATTGTGCAACAATAAAATAACATTTTTTATATATCTAATAGGTGAATAAAAAATGAAGATAGCAGTATTTATATTACTATAGATTGAATTCGTCTTCCCAATCTTTGCGTCGATAAGACATCATGCCCTTTGTCTTTCCTAAGGACTTTTTTACCACGGCCACGAAATACTATCACTCCGCCATGTCGAAGACAACCTTTACAGGGTGTGTCATGATTCTTGTGTAATTGTCGTTGTAGAGGATATTCATAATCTTTAAACGATAAATCAATCCATGCAGTGACTTTCTCTTCTTCTTCTAGTCGAACGTTACTTCGTTTTCTATTAATTGTTTGGTAGTGTCGTGCTCGATCGAAATCTTCAAAGTCTCCACCAGGAAATCCGACGTAATAAAATGGACTATTTTTGCGATTGGAGCGCATACCCATAGGTATCATTTTCCGAATAGGCGGCTGATTCTCTTCATCATCAAGTAATTCCCATCGTTTTGATTTTGATAGAGAAAAAGGAATTCTACTGTTCTTGTCAATGAGGAAATCTCCTCGATGAGCCTTATGTTCGAATTCATTGCGTCGTACAGTTGCATTTGTTCTTAGTCCTTGCCGTTTGCCCTGTCGTTGTGGCATGATGAAACTATCGAAAAAATGCTACTCTAAAAAAAACAGGAAACTTTCTTTTTTGAAAAATCAGCAAATACTTTTCAATTCACATAATTGAATGTTAATATTTTGTCTTGCTGAAGTGAAGAGGTTTCTCTGGGATAGGACAGAAAAAAGTAAATAAAATTGAAATCGACATGTTTCTCGTTATTATAAAAAACATTTGTATTGATCGAAAAAAGGCTTAGAAAAAAGTTCCATTTAAAAAACGGAATTTAAGACAAAACTACTCTAAAAATGTGTTTTTCTTCTTGTGACTGAAACGATTGATCTCTACATAGTAACTATAGTATTTATAGACTTAGGCATTTCATAGTAATTGCATCACACATGTGTTGCGAAGGAGAACAAAAACTGTCATGTAATGTTGTAATTCAAGGAGTCATTCTTAGAAGCATCTAGTTGATTACTAATATTTCTATTCTATTCTTGAAATTGTATTCATCTTACAAGAGAGGATCTTCGTTTTCAATCGGTTAGGGTGCAAATAATTGTTCAATTGTTCTTCATGATTGATTGGATCAGGTAATGTAGAATTTTCACTGTAATAATATATATGAAATTCATTTCCAAGATTAGTCATTTTCAAAAAAATATTGTCTTTTCCTTTTCTCCAAGAACAAGATGTTCATTCATCTGTATAATTAAATTTTATTCAATAAAAAGAAGATTGACTACATGAAATAAAAGAAATTGATACAGGTGCATGACGATCATTGTGTATCGAATTGAAGAATAACGACGGTAGCAATTGATATTGTTCACAAAAATTAGATGAAAATGAAGAAGGAACATGCATTACTTTTAGCCTTATGATGTATGTTTCCACGTTTTTATGTTTCATCGTCAAGCGCCGCATTGACCCATGGAGGTGGTACTGATCCTTTAATCATATTCCAAATGATAGCTACAACAAAAACAATTATATACAATTAGATAATTATTAACAAAGATGACATTCCTTGCTTCATCGAAGTCCTCTATACTTCGGTTCTTTCTGGTTCTCGAAGAGAAGATTTTTTCCAAAATCGATGACTTTGTATTACACAATATTTGATTTTCACGAATGATCTTGATGTACCGTGTTTAACGTTGAGGTAGGTTATAGGCTAAATCAATTGTGTGGTGCACACGTATGGTTCCTTCTAAAATGAGGAGCGTAGGTTACAAAGCAAGACTCTTGAAATGTACGCGTTCCTTGCTCATCATAGACATTCATTAGTTAGTCCTATACTAATTATGAGTTATAGAAATTAATATTTGGTCCATGAAGATTTTACACCAATTACGCCGCCATTGTATCCATGTTTGCCTGTATAACAGAATAAATGAACAGCATCTAACCATTAAAAACCCTGGGAACCGACGAATTGTACCACTACAGACCTCGATAACTACACATAAGAGGTTTTGCATTGACTTGTTACGAAGAAAAACATTAAAGTATATAAAGGATACGATTTCGACTCCTTTACAACATTTCAATGATTTTCTCGAAAGCTAAAAAGCTTTAATATATTAGTCAACATTTTTGATAATGCAGTGAACGATTTTGGGGGTGACATTTTAACGCGTGAGTCAAATCTCAAGATGTAAAAGTCACGAATGAAGAGTAGTGATCTATAGAACTTTCATATTAATCATAGGATTCAATATAAAAAATAGAGCGTGAAGGGCCATTGATGAATAAGTAGTTTACAAATGCAACGGCGATTATTTATAAAAACAATTACTCTACAAGAAGATTTTTACTTTAGTGTATATTTATAACTAAAGTTAGGTTTAAGGATGACTGTGAGTTCTAAACTTCTGTCCTAAAGGAACTGCTAATGAGCCTTTCATGTATTTTACAAATGTACACCTCACAATTCTGATATTTTCAATCAACAATTCTAGTCTTGGCTTCTCGCAGCTGAACGACTGGTGGATTTTCTATGCAATCTTGAAAGAATCTGATTAAATACTTTCTTGTATTTGTAAATATTTTATCTCGTGCAGTTACTTTTTTCATGAAAGAACAATAGAAATTATCGGAAGATGATGTCATTTTGGACAAAGTGATAGTTTCTTTGAAATGTTTGGATTTTTTCACCAGAAAATTTACGATTAATTACTTCATTTTTTTCAGATAGTGAAGCGAGACCTAATCACTTTTGTTCATTATCAATACATTCAAGAGTAGTTAAAAATCTGTTCATTCAAAGGCAGAAATGACTTCCTAACTAAAACCTAGATTGTTCTGAAAATCTCGAATGTTGTAAGTACTTAAATAAGTTTGAATTCGATTCAAAAAATTTCTATGTCATTGGTCAATAGCGTCTGATTGATTCTGATTAAAATCGAATTCGAATAGAGATAGTCACGAGCGTGGTTCTCTTGAAGTGCCATTGCTTCAACATGGTTCATCACCAAGAATTCGAGCACAACATCTGTTTAAACATTCAACTATTCCATTCTCGAATCCGAGATTTGCCAAAGCGAATCTGAGAGTGGACGCTGACATATATGTCACATACGAATAAAACTGAAGTTTTCTTGATGTTGACTATTTGGAGTACAGGGTAACGCTAGTAAATCGTTTTATAGCTGCAGTGATTAACTTGCGTTTGTAATAAAAATCAACATAGTAAATAATGTTTGTTGTTTAAATTGATATTTCAAATTTAATTATTTAGATTCAAGAAGAAATTGATTTGGATATTGATGAAATGAAGCGTCATAATCATATAAATGAATCGTTTGCAACCGATCCTGAATTTGGAGTAAATAAAGTTTGGTTCTTTCTTTTTCTCTTCTAAGATAAATAATTTTAATTTATTTAGAGACAAAATATAAGAACAAAACGTGAACTAGGTCATCGGTAAGAAAATCATTTTAATAATAAAAAAAAGAAATAATTTTTATTCGATTTCTAAAATTTTGGTATATTTGTTAATCGAAGTTTACAATTGGATTGAATCAAATTTTATGATTTTGATATGGATTATACATTAGCATTGTATAAATCACCAAATTTGAAGAATTGACATTTCAACGAATTATTGAATCATTAATTGAATTTGGTTATTCTGAACAAACTCGAAATTTTGTTTATGATCGAAAATTTTCTTTACAATAATAATTTTATTATATTTATTAATCATTTTCAAAAAAATTTCTGTTTTTTTTTCTCTCATTAATAGGGATCTTTGGTATGATAAATTATATGGAAATTCACTTAAAGTTGATGCACATGGAAATATTCTTACAGTTGTTTATGGTTTTAAATTTCTTAATAAGTAAAGATTTTTCTTTTCATTGGTTTTCATCCTTATGATTTCATTCTAGACATGCAGTTCGAGAATTTTATCCGAATAAATATGTAACTAGTGATGATCGTATTTATGTTTATTATACACTTTTTAATCTATCAAATAATATGAAAAAAGAGAAAAAAGCGAGATTCATAAAAAATTGCATTTATCGTAATTTTGATGAGATTACATGTGACGTATAATAAAAATTTCTTACAGATGTAGGATCGGTTGGCGTCTTTTTTTGGAAGCGACTGAATTTAGTATAGTTTTAAAGAATCTCTTTGGGTTGAATCCACTGACACTAGATTATGTATCCGTCGTGCCACAAATCATGATAGAGAGCAAGATGTCTATGATGTTTTGTGGAGGAAGAGGTGTAAATTTCTCGCTATAATACTTCACTATTCATTTTCATTCATATTTTAAAAGGAAAAGGATTTTTTTCTATTTAGAAATTTATCTTATTGCTTCTTTAATGGATTATTTTTCTATTGTGGCAACATATGTCGAGTACGTAAGATGAATGGATATTTGAAGATTTATTTGATTAATTTTTTTTTTATAGAGATCGAACAGCTATTGAATTTGGAGAAAATATTCTTTCATCTCGTGCAATTTTCAAAGATGTTCGAAAGTCATTTGACCGTGTTCATTATACAGTAAAGACTTTTTGTTTCTAATTTGAAAAGAAAAACGAACTCGTTTTTTTTCTTAAGAGTAAACTTAAAGAAATGCTTTGTGAAAATTTTGAAAAATATGTTCATAAGGATGAACAAATTACCAATATTTTGAGATCGATAAATTTATTTATGAATTGAATAAATAAACAAGATGAAATCAATTTCTTTGTAGTACTCGTTCTCATGATGCAAAAACGTTTTTATTAATCGATAGTGAATATTGGTATACTGATAAATTAATGATATATTTATTAGCAACTGATAGTGATACTAATAATTCAAAACGTGACTGGAAATCACATTTTAATTATATTGTTGTTGATGCACAAAAACCATTATTTTTTGCTGAAGGTACAACATTAAGAAGAATTGATCCAAATACTGGAAGTATGAAATTGGGTTCTAATGCTGTGCAATTACAACAAAATGAAGTTTATAGTGGAGGTAACAAAAAAAAAGAAAGCTCATGAAAATCTGATATATATGCTTCAACAGTTGTTAATCTCGTTTATTATCCAATTTTTTTTAGTTTTTTTTTGTGCTATTCCACAATTAGTATGTAATCTTATGAATCAACTGTTGATCCTGAAGAACCAATGCACTTTAATTCATGAGACGATGAAAAACTTCAATCAAATTCAACTGATCGTCATCATTCAACATTATATCAAACATTTAAGAATACACGTTGTTTTGATCGTTCAATATCAGCATTTCCATCAATACACAATCATCCTTATTTACCATTATACATAATACATGATCATGATGAAGATGGTGATCCAGATGATGATAATCCATCAAAAGTTGGTCACGATTTAGACTTTGATGTTCGATCAAACATAACATATACATCACCAAAAAAGACATGCAAAACAACAAATGACTAAAGAGACTTTCATTTAATTCATTCTTGTCTTTTTAGTTTAATCTATTTATAGAGTTGTTAGATTTTGTTGTTGATGTGTTGGGTGTGGGTAGAGAAAAAATACCTATATCTACGCCCACACCCACACCCTCTTTTTTTATTTCTCTCAAAAGATGACTCAACAATCGAGGCCTTAGCTTCTTCTAACGACAGTGTGACATTGGAAGAGAGAGTAAACAAAAATCTGTAACAAAAAAATTTGCTTGGCATTTTTAACGGACGAAACACAAAGAAATAAAAAAACAAATAATTGGAATTAATGTTTGTTCGTGGCTCCTTGATAATGAAACAATGTATTGAAAGTTTGCTTTTGAAAAAGAACAAAAGGAATATTTCAATGCGACTTAGTAAGAAAATATTGACTGCATTCGTCGAATATCAATACAAGAAGTGTCTAGTGATTGTAACCGTTTGGAAAATAGTGTCAAATGTCGCCAATGAATGAAGAAAAACAACATTATTTATCAACTCGATTTTGTCAATTGGAGTTCTGAAATTTCGTTGTATAAAGTTGAAAATTCTTAAAAATAATCAGACAAAACACGACACAGTAATGAAACAATTAAATATTGTATTATTAATTTCCTTGATTGTCTTATTTCTACTTTATATTGATTTAACGAAGGACAAAACAAGTCTTAACATATTATAAACTATTGAGTAAAAGACAAAAAGATTGGAATTTTTGCTAAGAACATTTTAAGCCATCAGTACTCTAATAATGAATATTCGCTTCCTTGTCAATACATATGTATATTTTATTTATCTGACTTGAAACAGGTGGAAAATTAAATCATTTATAAATAAAAGAAAAAGAATTCCCAGGTCAACATGGAAGATACGAAAACGGTAGTAAGCCATAATAAAAAACGGTGACTATACAGAGTCCCGACGATTTTTGTAAACGGGAATCAGTTTACACTGTAAATACAGATACATTACGAGCCGTTTTACAGCGCAACTTCCTTAGAACTGTATACGACCTGAAAACGAAAAGCGTTTACGCACCGTTTCGAGCCGTCTTTTTCTGACACTTTAAGTTCGTCGACCGATGTAACTCCGACAGCACATACATATGAGCAAGATCAATTCATAGAAGCCTCAATAATTTTTCTTGACATTAAAAATAAAGATACTAATCAAAGCTCAAATAAAAATCCTATAGTGCATAGGCTTGTCCGTTTTAATTTAAATTCACGAAGATTTTACTTTAATTATCTATTGTATATTTCACTTTTTAAATTCTATATCCTTCAATAAAAATTTATTTTATATTACATTTTTTTAATTCGAAATTTATTTTATATATAAATTTCTGAAATTTTATTTCATTTCATAATTTTTTACAATCAAAATTTATTTCGGATATCTTTAGTTTTTGTTCTCAGAATTTATTACATTTTTTTGAACTAAAATTCACTATATATTTTATTTTTCTTGAACTAATTTTTTTCATTTAAATTTGCTAAAATTTAAAATCAAATTAATTCTTCATTTTATTTTTTCAATGAAAATTTATATTCTATTATATTTTCTTTTATTTAAAATTCATTGTAGGATTAAATTTTTGAAATTTGAATTTCATACTTTATCGTCTGAAATTCAAATATATTTAATATTTTCTATTCTTGAATTAAAATTCATTATATGTTTTATTTAAGTTTGCTGAAATTCAAATCCAAATTCATCCTACATTTTATTTATTAAATGAAAATTTATATGAAAAATCTACATTATATTATATATCTTTTATTTGAAATTTATATTTACTTTATGCTTTATGACTTTAAATTAAAATTCATTGTATATTTAATTTATTTTTAAATTGAATGTTCTTATGTAGATTTGCTAAAATTAAAATTCGCTTTATATTCCACTTTTAAAATCAACATTTATTTTATACTCCATTTTTTATTTCAATATTTATTGTCAATTTAAATATCCCGAACTTAATATCATTTCGATATTAAACTTTTTCAAAATCAAAATTTTTTTGAACTTAAATTTCATAAAATTTTAATTAATTAATTTTTTTATATTTACGTTTATGATAAATATAAAATTTCTAAAAGTTTATTTTCGAATGGATTAATTTTTTCGAGCTGTAAATGAGAACATGAACCCAAGGTTGCATTTAATAATAAAACCAATACTCGAAGAATCGTAATAAAACAGCCGTAAACGAGTACAATTACGTATATTAACGGTCGTTAACGTTGAAAATACAGTGGAATACACATGGCGGTATTTCACCCGTTAAGTTGTAGAAAACGGCCAAATACGGTCAGTTTACAATACAGTGCGAATTTCTGCGCTAGATAATGCGGTTCAATATGAATCGAAAACGGAACGTATTGAATCCGTATATCTCCGTAAATGCCCCGTTTTTGCAAAATTTTCGGTCCGTTATCAGATCGTAAACGACACCGTTTTGATCGACCTGGGTGGCTTATTTTCTGTTTTTAAGATCAATCAAACTATAAAATTATTGTAAAATTTCGAACAATGCAATGGTTATCATCAGAAAGGCTTTATTGTGTTAACATATTCTGCCTTGCCACTTTGTGTCTTGTTGTTTATCGGATTATTTTCATGACGCATTCTTCTGAAAAGCAAAAAAAAGAATTTATTTCGTTTTTTTTTGTTGTGTCACAACGCATACTATCCTAACATGTGACGATGCTTAATTCTTTCTTCTATTTTATCTTTTTTTTATTTTTCTTCTTTGTGTGATTTCAAGATTATTTGACATATATAGATTTCTTTCGATCAATAACATTGAATGGAAGTAAGAATGAAAAACAAAATATTGACTATTTTAGACATAAGAATGAATGGATGATAAACGACTGTTTGATCACTTTGCACTTATTGATGTAGAAAATACAGGTTCTATTGAACGTGATGAATTACTTCCGACAACATCATCACCAATAGCAGATACATTTATACAATTATCATCGAAAATACGTGATATAACACCAAAACATCAACAACTTATTGTTGATTTAGTTATTATTTACCGAACCCATGGTGCAAATCCACCAGTTGCTTATGAAGCTATATGGGCAACTCCAAATCATTTCTCAGCTAATCTAAATCATAGTGGACTACACAATCATGAAATGTATTTATGTATTAGACGTGGGCGTGATAAACCACCAATAACAGATATTGATGTTTTGTTGGAAGGAAGAGAAGAAACCATGGATAATTTTTCAGTTATTGAAACAACAACACATGGATATCCAGCAAGTATATGTAATTCATTCTTTAGCAAAGAACATACATTAATTACATATCGACGAGCTGCCTTAACGATTTTGTGCAATACATTAACTGTGACAGATGTTTGTGTTATTATTGAGAGCAAAGTATGAAAACAAGTTAGACTTAACTATATGTAAAGATTTTTTAATTCCAAAGTTTTCTCTAATAGTAGTTTATCAAATGGCTAAACATTTACAGATTTTGCATTCTAATCTCAGAGTATTTTTATTTGATGTATGATAAAATCTGTTTTTTTTTCCAGTATAATTAAAGAATTTTTTCTTTAAGAAATCTCATAAGTAATTTGATATGTCAACATTTCTTGTGTTTTCTCATGAAATATTATTTGACATAAGACTGAAAATTATTTTCAAAAAGACTTCTATTTTTTTTTTCTTCTTTTAGGGCAAAACTTCTCCACATTCATTTATTAAAATAAATAAAAATTTAAATCATTCAATGTTTAATCCAAAAATATATTTTTGTTATAAAAAATCTGTTATGAATTCCATACGAATTCAATATCGTCCACGTATTCTTTATACGTTTCCAACAATCGATGATAATCAATATGATATATTTCTGGATAAAACTTCTCTTTTTTGTTTTCCAATGGGTGCATTTATTGAACGATGACCATCAGATGTAACTCTACAAAGTATTGCACCAAAATTTTCAACCTTTCTATTATCAAATACAAAACAATATGGCGTTTGCTTATCGTTCTATGAAATATCTAATGTAAAAGATTGTTTTTTAAAAAATTTAGGAACATATAATATATTAACTTTATTTTTATTCGCTTGATTGGAATCAAAATTGCTCATACGTTCATTAAGATCATCCGTATTGACAAGCGTTGTTGAGGCAGTGAATAGTGTAACAATATCTTTAACTTTTATTTTCAAGAAAAAAAAGCAATACATTTTCTTTTTAGATGCTGTTTTCATTCCAATGGCAATATCTATACATACCATTATGTCCTGTAACATTAAGTGATGTACTTAAAGCACCATGCCCATTTATTATCGGTAAGAAAATTAAAATATGTATTAATTGCTGCACTAGATATTCTTTATAGGAATTGATTCACGTTATTTTGATATATGTGAACCATCTGCTGATGTTATATGTGTCGAACTTGACTCAAATATAATTACTGGCGGGTAAGATTCTAACTACTAATATTATGTCGTTGATTATCAAAGAAATAAAAATAATTGTTTTGATCGTACTACAAAGCAGTGAAAGAATTCTGAACAAAATATTTATTTTCTTCCATTGTTGAATAAAAATAAGAGAGTTCAGTAAATATCTCTAATACAATTGAAATGTAAAAGATTTATGTACACACGAATCACATCATAAAATTATGACAAAAGGAAGTGTGAATGCGTGTTAATCAGTAGTAGCAGTACAAATTCTGTTCTTAGACAGAGTACTAGTTATACAGTTCTTGAATGATGTTTCGAGAAATATTTTTTATCAGTAGATGGAGTTTGATTAAAGAGATATTTAATAATATCGGGAAAGAAATGACAGAACTAGACATGTGCAAAATCAAGACTTTACTTTACTTTTTTGAAATTTGCTCTAGTCAGAAGAAAACTATTTCCAAAAGTGATCGTATCACATCTAAAATAATTCTTCACTGATCATTGTTGTAATCTATTCAGTCGAAGATTATGACTCTTTTGAGTAATCTCTCTTGGATTGCTTTCGAATTCATATAATATATAAGTTAATTCTGTTAAAACTAAACAAATATTTTACTTTAAACTTATATTCTAGTTCCGGCTAATATTTTTCTCGTTGTTTCCGTCGTTGAAACTAATAGAATTTATTTATTTGTTATATACTAATAAAATAATCATCAATTGAATCGTATCTTGTTTTTGTTTAAATCATGAGTAGTATTTTAGAAATATTTTTATATGATGAATAATTTTTGTTTTCTTTTTATTTTAGAACTAAAGAGCAAAAACATTGGTCTGTAAAAATATTTCCGAAAAAAGCCAGTAAATATGTTTTTTTTTCCTTCACTTCTATTAAACCTAACGATTTTTCATAGTTTGAATTATTAAAGCAATCGTTAGATGAAATCAAATTCCAAGTACTCAATACATATCAACAACGTTTATATGAACTTCGTACACATTTGAAACGTAATCATAACGATTCTGAATTGCATCTGCAAATAGTTCAACTTGAACGTAATATGGAAACACATATACATGATATATTTCTTCGTTTTATGTGTACATATTTTTATGGTTATAAACAATTTTTACGTCCAATCTTACGTCGATCGAATCAATTATCAACAGATGTATCGGTTTTATTTGAATTCCATGATTTTTTTACACTCACGAGATTCATCTTATTCAAAATTTTATTCATATATTTTACGTACACAAATGTTTAGTCGTTTTATAGAAGAACGTTCATTTTTATCATCAAGTACATTAAATCAATCAGTATTAATCAAAGATAGTCTTCACTATACGTATAGTTTGGCTCGTTTTGATGAATGTTATACTAAAGTTAAAGCAAATATTGAAAATAATGAACAACAAACAGTTTATTTATTTTGATATATATGCCACAAAAACAAATGTTTTAAGTGAAAAACCAATATCAATAGTACCAGAATTTCTTGATTCAAATCATACACCAACAAAAGGATACAATGATTCAGTCGAATCAACAAAATAAAAAAATGAATTCTGAAAATAGAATACATAATCAACAAAAACATGAAACTCCTAATTTAAAATCATTTCAAAAACAAACACAAATATTATCTATGAAACTTATATCAAATTGTTCAATCGTTAAAAGATCGAAACTTGAAAGAGATAAATGCTAAAAGGTAATATTTAAGAAGTCACAGTTTACAGAACCTCATTGAATTCTATCACTCTTGACGCAATAATGATCATGTATTCTAGTGGAGAATTTGATTCATATTAAATATTACGAAATGATGAATTCAGGATTTAAATATACAGTCCATCAAATCCAAGAATTTTTGAAATCGGATAGTAGTTGAGAGTATAGTATAAAGCCTCACATGAAACATAAATTAAAATATTAGAAAAAAGATAAATTTTTGATATACAGCTTCAAACAACTGTTTAGCAGCTTTTGACTTAAATTGGATTGAAATAGTATCTTCAGAAGTTCCTGAATGTATGGGAGCTGTTACTTCAAGAAATTGCATACCATCGAAATCCACATGACCAGGACAATTATATATGTAATAACACGAAAGCTCAAATTTCTTTTTGGTAGGAATAGAAACTTGTTGCTATCCCTACTTTTCTATACAGTTAGCAATTGTTTCTTCTCGCTACTATCGCGCACTGTCTTTGAATGAACATTATGCCACAATAATATAGTCAGAGAAACATTAATGACAATTAGATGAGTACATAAATTATAATTATTTACAAGAATTGCTCCTTTTTAAAAACGATCGTCTTACTCCTAAAGGTAACTATAAACAAATCATTAGCACAATAGGATAGCGTATGCTGATATAAATTTTTGCCCTGTTAAATTAGTCTCAAGAGGTTCAACTATTGATGTATCCCAACAGAGTCGAGTTGTCTGCAATCATCTTACACATCTTTACTGTTTACACTATTCATCTGATTTCAATGAAAATGTATAAACCAGTAGCTTTATATTTTTAAAAACAGATTACCCGTCAAAATAAAACTAAACCTACTCAATGGGCATATTGTTTATTATCCAATGTTCATTCTCTATGGTTTATGCATTTGCCTACTATGATTGAATGTTATATAAGTCCACGACATATTTTAAATTATGCTTATAAAATTCTTGTTCAAATGAATCGATAACATTTAACAGATCCAGATGAAGCGAAAGAAATAGAACAATTCAATAAAACTATTTCATAAAATGTTTTCTCTTCGTTCTATTTTTAGATTTGTTTTCGTGACATTATTCAATTATGTGGTATCTATGATGATCCCCTACTTGCAGTTAAAATTTACTCATTCATGAAGAAAAATGGTGCAGAATGCAATGCTATTACATATGGTACTTATAGTAGAGTTAGTTAATCTATTCCAGTATGCTGATTTAGTCATACTTCATTTTTGTATTCATATTTAGGCTGTTTATGAAGGCACATGGTCCATACACATGATCATTGAACAACATTACGTTCCGTTGTTCAAGCTGTATGGGCGTTTAAAACTGCTCATCATTATCAACAAAATCAACATAATCGACGGTCATTGACATCATCCTTCGACGATGATGACAGTGATGGTGCCATGAATACCAATTCTAATACTATATTTTCAACAACTTCCAATCATCCTTCGAAAGCACTTGGTTCAATCGATAATCTCAAAAGTTTATTTTAACAATTATCATTTGACAAAAAAAATGAAGAAATATTTTTCTAGATAACCGTGAAAATAAACTTAACCAAGATGATATGTTATCAAGTATCTTTTCAACATTAGCTGGATCAATCAAAGATATAACAGAGAGTTCATTTTTTCCAAGAATGCTTTTGAAAAAATCACCATCAAGTAATAATACAATCAAGAGCAATTTATTTACTAAAGTTTCATTTGTTTTACTTTTAGTGGATGGGCTAACAGATAATAAAATAGTTCCTACAACGAATTCAAACAATAATAATATTAATAATATTGCTGTTCTTGAAACAGCAAAAAAACGTTCGCTATCAAATACATATGATATTCATTCAAAACTTGACTACAGTACACTTCAATCAATTACTCATCAAACAGGTTTGCTAAGTTTTCTCCTCCTCACACATATTTCCAACTGTGGGTCAATCGAATGGTCTGATTTCTTGAATAGTGGTAGAACTTTATTCAAAAGAAAATTTTTTTTTCGTACAAATCATGCAAATACATACTTCTATTAAGTATTATTGTTGATTTCACAAAAGAAATTCTTCGTCTATTATCCATTGATAAAAATATCAGTGAAACGTTCCATAGACAACTTTTAGTTGCTACCTTAGAAAATAGCAAGAAGAAATAAAAAAAACGTCTTATGAATGATAGAAAATTGATACAAACATGCCAAATTTCTAGAATTACTCCGTTTAAATGCCGAAATTCGTGTCATAAAATTAAAACGAACAATGAAAGTTTTTTAAGAAGCAGATCACCAACTTTGTCGAAAAGAAAAAACAAACTTCTATACATGTAAATTCGAAATATTACAATCATCGATTCTTTATCAGAGTACTTGTAGAAATTTGGGATGTCCGCATCGATTTTCTATCATTCCTAAGGCTTTTTTGAAATTTCTTCTTGCTGTTTACTAAGGTGACAATTAAAAATTGTCTACAAAATGTTTCATTGATATTTTTTTTCAATGTATAACATCTCGATATAATACATCAACTAATTGTTTATTGCATTTTTTTCGAGAATAAGTTAAAAGAATGGTGTCTTTCGAACTCTAATTCGAACAGAATTCTCTCTAATCATTTTGCTTTTATTTAGCTCGATCTGATGCTGGTATATTAATGACTACAATTGACATTGAAATAGTTGATGTCGGTATGCTCTCATATCGTTTACGAATAGCTCCAAGATCTTCTCAAATGCATAATACACAACAATCAGTACGTCGTTCAATTTTATATCCTCATAATCAAACGCAATTAAATTCACCAATTAAATAGGAATAAACATCACGAACGCAAAATTTATCCTATGATCCACTTGGCTTACTTAATCCAATTCCAACTACTGCTACACGTCCATTAATTATAAATCAAACACCTGCTGCGACGAAAAAAACTTTTGCTAATGTAATATCATTTTCATCTGAAACATAATCAATCATAAATTCTATTTCAAAAGAAGGCAAAGAAGAAGGAATTTCATCTCTATCATATATTTCAACACTACTAACACAACTACGTGCTAAATTTAATCAAAGTAATTTTTCAGCATTGTATAATTCAAAAAATCTTACTACAATCAAATCATTTGCATTGGATTTTTTTACTGATCTTAAATCTTCAGTCAAATCTACAATAAATTCATTAACACAATCAAAGAGTCCACATATAATTAATAATCCAATAATCAATAAAGAACAAACATTATCAAGAAATAATAGTAATAGTAAATTACATGATAGTATATCATCATTTATATCACACCAAAGTTCAAATAGTTCTTCATCATTAAATACAAATAATATCAATGAAGTGGATATTAAAGATTTTTGTTTAGACTTTTCAAATGCTGCAATACCAATTCGTTATAATCATGATAAGAATTCTCGTTTTTCCAAGTCGTATTATTGAAATTAGTAGTTGCAGTCGATGTTTATCATGTAATCAATTTTTGTACGACCAAGAAATCATAAATGGCTGGTCAGCAGATGATTCTGAATTACATACAATATGTTTTCATTGTAGAAAGAAAACAATACCAACATTAGCTATGAATATAAGAATAAAACAAATTCAGTTGATTACTTAAAGAATTTATTTGATTTACGTTTTGATTTCATTCAGGATAATACAGTCATGAATCCAAATAGAAATTCTATCTAAATTTAAATGAAAACAATTTTTAAAAATTCTATTTTGTTTCTATAGGAAAGATGATTCGACAGTGACAACATCAACGAATAATATTACACAACAAATAATGATTGAAAAAAAATGAAAGAATCATTGTAAGATTTAGTTTCTTTCTGTAGATGTTCAGAAATTCTAGAAAAAATTTTTGATAGAATCAAAAGTGACTTTATTCCTATAAATTGTTAAGGCCTTTTAACTAAATACTTACTTTTCGAAACATATATGCAAGTGAGCAGATAAACTATAAAAGCATTTATTTTATGTTCAAATAGGATACATTTTAGTTTTTATTTTTGATTTACAAAATAAGTTCTCGAAGTGATGAGAGTGAACTTTTATCATAAGATAGAGTTCGTTGAAAGCGAATTAATTCTGTCATGATAAGTCCTTTGATTGCGTTCTTCTTCTTATATTATGACAATTTAAGTTGACATCATTTCAGTTTAATAGATGATAAAGTATTACCAAACAAACTTGATCATTTTTAAATTTACCAGATATCTTTTAAATGATTAATTTAATTGTGGATATTTTATTTAACTAGTTGCGTTCAATCATCGTCATCAGCTATAACGATACACTATTTAAGCCCATTGGTTCTTCGCAAAGAATTTGAAAATATAATTAACATGTTCGATCAAAATAATCATGATTTATATAAAATTCATTTTAAAGAAAAACATCCAATATTATTCTGGAATTTGGTAAAATTTTAATTAAAAACTATTTATTTGATTGAGTTATAATAATTGTTTATTTAGTTTTGGTTTTTTCAACGTATTCATATATCGAGTTATTTATTTCAACTACTTTTGCGTTCATTATTGAATTCACTAGAAAATGAAGCTAAACAAGATTTGAAAAAGAATAAATGTATTTTGGGATGAGAACTTATTGATGATAAGACTTCGATTCGTATATGTTGTATGTGGGATAGTATAATAAATCGTAGTAATATTGCTGAACCAATGTATAAAACATGGGAATATGATGGTTATGGTAAAAGAAAAAATGAATTTTTTTATTTAAGTATAAATCAACGCTCTTATTGAATTCTAGAGTGATGTCATACATCCGTTGCCAATAGTCTAATTACATATGAACATAGTACCATCCCCGAAAAGTGAGATTTATTTACTGTTAGTGATTTATTTGATGTGATTTGTCTCATATACATGTAGGATTTACATATCCAGAGTACAAGAAATTGATTTCTTCCCTGATTTTTATTTTATTAATCGAGGAAAACAAGATAAATCATTCATGGATCTATATTTTCTTTTGCTTAATCGTAGAGTCATACGATCAATTGTTAGTTGTATTGAACAAGAAGATCTGTACCATCCCATTCAATTATATATCAAAAAATCATCTAAATCAATACGTACACGTATTCGTCGACGCTCAATGTGTAGAGAAATTTAATGTTTCGCTATTGTTGTACTTGGACGTGATAAATTGTCTTATGGTAAGTTTTTATTGCGAAACTTATTAGTTTAAACAATGAGACAAAATTATATTCAAATTATACAGTAAATCTCGAAACAGCTGAAGATACAGTCTTGGTATTACTTAATATAATTCTTTTGATTAATATTTTGCTCTAAATAAGTCTCACATGTTTTCTTCAAGAACTTTTCTTTTTTTTTTTTGAAGCACAACAGTTGAAAGTACAGCTTGTGAGGAAAGCTATTGTTCTTGAAATTACGAAGTATTTTATTATAATATGAAACAGAGTAGAATCCTAGAAACTACTACTATCTGTGGATGTGTAGTCTCGATGAAAATAATGAAATATCAACAGTAAGTCTACTGATACAATGGATTATTGTTCACTTGCCAGCTTGAGTTTTTGTTGAATAGTTTACTAAAAGTAAACATTGTATTTCGTATCTGTGTTTTGGCATTTCGGATCGATGATCATTTTGACTAAATTTTCCATCTTCTCTAAGCTGAACAGTCAAACATCGTTGAACATTAGTTTAATTTGAAACTTTGCCAATACGCAAGTCTTAATCAAATCTCCAATTTATTCACGAAATATTTTATGATTTAGAAAACTTTATGTTTTGTTGTCGAAAGTCAAAACATTCACTTTTTTTATAATTGAATATGTCAACAAGAAATCACAAGTTTCGAGGAAAGCTTTTACAACACTTATATACAAAAACTTAATAGGAGCCTGTACCTTAAGAAAAACATAACCAAGTCATTTGTATCAGATCGACAGTTCAATGAAATGTTCATAGATTGTAAAAAAAAATCCGTGAATACGAATTAAATTACGACTACTACTAGTCTTAACAAGTACTAAATGATGACAAACTATGATCTCAATAGACATTCGATAATTTTAAACCTTCTTTCAGAAATTTTTGTTTCAACTATGATTTAATTCTACTACTCAATGATCACCCAACCTGACCAGACAAAATTTTTCAAAAACGCGTTTTAATGCATAAATAAATGCGGAAATCTCGGATTTAAATCCGAGTGTTATGTGTACTTCAAAAAGTGAAAAAGCGATTTCTTAATTCAAAAAAAACTTTATTCAGAATTTTCAAAATCTAAGTTTACATTCGTCGACCCCGATTTACTTTTGCCAACCTTTATAAAATATCGCTATTTTCGGAAAAAACTCTGTCCTTGGCCCAAATGCTTGAGCTCAAATCTTAAATAATGTATATACCATTTTGTCGCTCGTGAAATTCTCTGTCGAATGGTATATACTAGTTGGGCTTTTATTTTGACTATGATAGGAAAAGTTTTTTATGAAATGGGGTAGTATAGGTCGATTTTTGCATAAGAGACCAGAGAAAAATATCAGTATTTTTGCAATAACTCAGGAAGAGCTTCTCCGATCAGGCTCATCTTGTTCTCTCGATCGAGACATTGATGAGACTAAACTGTGTAGAAAATTTCATCGCGATTAGACTCTCCTTTCGAAAGTTATCGTGTTAACAGCCGGACGGACATAGTGTCCGATTCTAGAGTGTATGAACTTTTTGAGTACACAAGGAAAAAGAAAAATCTAACAGCTAATGAATCATGCTACTTATTTCTTAATAAAATAACGAATTTAATGCATTTTATCGCATTTAATATATAGGTCAAACTTTGTAAAAATGGAAAATCTAAAAAAGTATGTCATCATCAACAACTTCTATGAATATGTAGAACGGTTTGTCTACGTAGCGCTAGCGACAGAGTATCACAGCGTTACATTTTTGCTCATTTTATTTTGGCCATAATTCTGAAAGAAAAAGTCGTATAGATTTGAGCAACGTCCTAAATTGAAGAGAAATTTGTTCTGAAGATTTTGAGATTTGCCCGAGCTTATAAAAGTATTTCCTCAAAAATCTATCACTGAAATACTGATACCCACTTTTTCGCAGGATTTCGCAAAAATAGGTGTTGCTATTTCAGTGATAGATTTTTTAGGAAGTATTTTGATAAGCTTGAACAAATCTCAAAATCCTCAAAACGAATTTTTCTTCAATTTAAGACGTCGCTCAACTCTATACAACTGTTTCTTTCAGAGTTATGGTCAAAACAAAATGAGCAAAAACATAACGCTGTGACAGAATTACGTGAACAAGCCGAGATATAAGTACTACATTATCTTAATTTATTTTCTATTTTTATGATCAATAAGCTTTAGTGAATTTTGAGGGTGTGGGTGTGGAGGTGTGGGTGGATGTGTGGATGGAGGTGTGCGTGCGTGTAAGTATTAGGGTGGGGTTGGTGGTGTGGACGTGAGAAGAGAGCAACACCCACATCCATACACCCACGCAAACCTACACCCACCCACACCCACACCCACACCTATGCACACCCAGACCCATACCCACACCTCCATACCTACACCCACGCACATCCACACCCTTCTCTCTCGCTCTCTATTTCCATCTCCTTTTTCACGAAAAATTCATTGCCTTTTTTCCAAAGCAACGAAAAGTGCTGGAGAATTTAACAGTATGCTGTTTTATTCTAAAAGAGCAGAGAAAGTTAGTTGAGAGTAAATTATTGAAAATTAAAATTCTACTTAAAACAAAAATGTCACACGGTATGATGAGACAGGCGTCCATGTGAATCGGATGGTCGTCATCAATTGATCAATAAGCGCCGGTATGTACGACCAGCCGATCCCGGCCCTGGCTAGCAGAGGATTGCGCTCAGTGTCGCCGGGGTATCGATGATTACCGTGCTGCCGCGTATGCCGGACCACATCCCGGTGATGGTTTGCGGCTCATTTCCCAGCGGCACCTTGAGAACCAGCGTCGTCGGAATTCGTCCGGTGGACAGCGGTACCTGTTCGTTGTAGGTGAATGCGGCAACCACAGGCGAAACGACGCCGTCTACCGAAATACCAAAATACCCTCCCGGAAAGTCCCTGCCCGTCGCGTAGGGCAGCGGTGCATTCAGGATGACGAGTGCCGCAGTACTGTTGCCCCCTTGGGTCGTGATGCTGAGGCCGGGAATTGGTACGAACGTGCCGGAGTTTGTCGTATGTGTGCCATTCGTCTGCGCGTATAAGGCCATGATCGCTCTCCCGTTGTTTGATCTATAAAATCAATAAAAGTTTGAATGAGACAATATTGAGGGTATGGCTGAGATGTGAGTGTGGTGTGTGGGCGCGGGTGTGGTGGGTGTGTGGGGTGTAGGCGTGAATGTGAGTGTAGCTATTGATGAAAATGAAAGATCTCCACCCACATCCA